ATCTCCAGGGAAGTCAACAGCACATTCTTTGTGCAGCTGTTTGGACTTAGATATCTAAACTCCCCTTTCCTGCATTTGTTAATAAGATGTTGTTCTACCTTACATAGGAAATTTAGCTTAACTTTTCTGAGAATAAATTACACTAGGTGTAGCCTCATTGTCCAACATTTCCTTAATTTAAGAATATAGCCTCTGTCAGACAGCTGGTATTCACTTCAGTTACAGCAATCAGTAGAGCAACACAGCAACCAAACTGATAGGGAAAATAGGAAGGAAGAACTGAATGACGTTTCAAATCTGTTTCACTGCAGCCCCTTCTTTTGCTAAATTCTTAACTGAAGCTGCCATGGAGTTGCCCAATTTCCAATGCTTGGGTACTATACATTGGCATATGCCATTACGAAATACAAGTAGTATTCCTCCTAGTTAGAAAGCTTTCCATTTAAATGGTAAGAAAGAGCAACAGAACTAAAAGCTAGTATAAGACCCTGAAGCTCACATTTGGTGACCACCTTCAAAAGATTAAAGGGAAAGACTTTTACAGAATAGTGCAAAAGAGTAACAGACTCCATGTAGAGACTCCCAACTTGGTGAGTCTCTACCAAACCCAAACAAGGCCAAAGACATTCAGCCTCTGCTGCAGACAGGAATAATACTTACCCAGAACTGCAGATTGGCACGGCACTTTATAAAGAATCCCCACCCCAAAGTAGGGTTGTAAGAGGTTAACCGGTCACACAGTAAGCATCAGAGTTACCGGAATGCTTACTGGGTAACTGGTTGGATCGCCAACTGCACCAGGCTGCATCAGTCCTGGCTAAGTATAGCTGGCTGCGCCAGAGAGGCCCAGACAGGCCATCAGGCAGGACTTCGGCCACTCTGACAGCCTGGGAGAATGGGCGGAAACCCAGGCCTGGCTGCTGTCCTGCCAATGGTTAACTGGTATAATTGTATCATTTAACTGGTTAATAATTTTAATGATTAATTTACATACCAGAACTCTAGTTCCAAGATAGGAGGGGGTGACTAGCACAGGGAGCAGGCAGGGAAGACGACAGCAATGATAGTGCAATCATGCAAGGTGAAAAACTATCAATGCAGGTGAAAAACAACTCTGACCTCAGGGCGTATCGGGGGGAAACACTTCTCAAGTACAAATGCCTGTGTCATTTCAGGGCATGATACTACAATGCTGGCAGAAATGGAGTGAAGAGACCCACCCCTCACGGAGCTCACTGCAGGATCATGGCCCACGTCTGCTTGTATGTTTGTTATTAATTTGGGATCTCACAATATTTTGCCTCCACACAAAGCAATTCATTTTACCGTCACAGGATCCTCCAGGGGGTTTTCGATTTCAGCCTGACGCAGGAACACGTTCCCTCGACACACTCGCCACAACATGCGCTCAAAGGTGGGGATTCGCTCCCGATTGATCACGCCGGCCACAAATCTGCACAAGGCAGAAAAAAATTGTGAATTAGGATGTTGCCTCTAGTAGAATTTGCAGAGCACAGGCACACACAGAACCTGGGGCCGCAAGAGGTTAATTGGAGGCTAGCTAATCAATCCAGGCCTAAAGTTACAAAATCCAGCTGACCTATTTTGGGTTAGATTTTTAATCAAAATGGGAGACAGAGAGGAAACAGCTGGAACATATCAAAGGCAGTGCCCTCCATCCCTTTTGAAAGCAAGCCTTAACTGACCGTAAATTAAATGCTTAAAAAATAAAAAGCACTTTCCAGTTTGAATGCATTCGTTTCCCCTTCAGTCATATGACTTCCATGCCTGTTGCTGTCAGTTTAAATGCCGCGCCTGTCACTTCCATGCCAAGTGCTATACAAGGCAGGAAGGGCAGCGACAGGCCATACAGCTTTCAAAGACCATAAGTTAGGGGCTGAGAAACCTATGGCCCGGATTCGGCCAGCAGTGTGCCTTTATCTGGCTCGCGAGGCTTGGGACTTACTTCCCACAGCAAGGGGGCACCATGGATGAAGTGCTAGCTCGCCCCACTCTGGAAGGAGGGTGTCCCGAGCCTTGCAGGCCTGATCAAAGCAAGTTGCTGGCCAGATCCAGCCCACAAGCTTCTCCTGGGAGGGGAGGAAGCGGCTCTGCATGCTGCAGGGAAGTACTCCATGCAGGCACTGCATCCCCATTGCTCCCATTGGTTGGGGGGGTATCTACAGGAAGTGTTTCTCTGTAGTGTGCAAACAGTCACACACTGCCAGCTGCAGCCCCCAGGAATTGTGCTAGATAGGCACCCCAAATCCCTGCCCCAACTGCACCCACCTCCTGTCCAGACTCCCCAACCTGCTCCTGTACCTTCCCTCCTGCCAAAACACATCCCCCAACCCACTCCTACACCCTGCCCATACCCTACACCCCCAGCCTGCTCCCCAGAAGCCCCTTCTTGTACAATAAACTTCTCATTTTTAGCCAGACCCCAGAACTTAGCAGGCCCTCCAAAATCCACTAGCCTCAGGTCCTCAGAAGAGTTAATCTGGCCCTGGGGATAAGCCCTGAGCCTCAACACCTGCTCCCTCCCACCACCTCATGGGGCTGGAGTTTGAGTTGGAGTATTTTTTTCCCCCGGCTTCTCAATTAGGAATCAGGTCAATGAGGATTGCGGGTTTTGGGGTATTTTTGCTTCTCTTATGGGTTGCTCCCGACTGATTTTTCTGTTGGTTGGTGGCTCCAACCTAAAACAGGTTCCTCACCCCCACCATAGGCACATGTGTCAGAAGACCACTAGTGCAAACTCCTAGGGTCAGCAAAGTGGTACAACAAAAGTGTCTTTGGCTTTGACATGTGTGTCAAAGGTGACTTGGAATCAACTAATGAAAAGGGATACAAAATGAGTAGCCTTGTTTTCAAAGATGACTCTCCTATTGACTAATTTGAAGCTATGAATTTTCAGTGTGTTTCAAAATCAGGTCTCAAACACTTAAGGAAAACAAAAAACAGGACTATGTAGCACTTTAAAGACTAACAAGATGGTTTATTAGGTTATGAGCTTTCGTGGACCAGACCCACTTCCTCAGATCAAATAGTGGAAGAAAATCGTCACAACCATATATACCAAAGGATACAATTAAAAAAATGAACACACATGAAAAGGACAAATCAAATTTCAGAACAGAAGAGGGAGGGGGGAGGAGGAGAAGGTAAATGTCTGTGAGCTAATGATATTAGAGGTGATAATTGAGGAAGCTATCTTTGTAATGGGTAAGAAAATTAATGTCTGTTTAAACTTAGGCATAAGGTGTAGAATTTAAGCTTAAATTCATGCTTAAAAGTTGCAGTTACCCAAGTCGTAGAGGGGCACCTCTTCCTATCTCACTTGGCTCCAGGAGCGAAGAGGATTCCTCCAGCAGGTCTGGATCCGCCATCTGCTGATGATGCAATTCAGCCTGAATTCACAAATCAATTAATATCTAATGAAACTAGTTAGTGGCATGCAGGGAACGAGGAACCAGGAGACAGTTTGCAGGAGGAGGGGGAAAAAAACCCAAAAAAACCAAAACAAAAATGCCCCCAAAAGACAATCACACACACAAAGAAGATGAAACAACAAAGACCAAGGTTCACACAAGGAGGAGAAAAACAAGAGGTAAGTAGAATGGCTCAGCAAAGCGTCAAGAGATTGCAAAAGAAAGCCAAGAAGCTTGTGGGATATAGGATTCTGAAGATGGGTGGACGTTAGATTTCACCCTAAGTTATGTTCCCAAGGAATGCCCTTAACTTTTTGAATATGGCATCATGTGACCCATCATGCTACTATCAGTACTTAGGGAAAAATGGATGAAGAGATGTATAGATAAGTATTAATTTATGTACAGTATGACCACTGCATTCCTGTGCATGGTCTATGTATTAACCAGAGACCATGAGCATTTCAAACAGTTGCCTTTTTACATGGAATGGTGGTCAGGTGACACTCAAATTCACTCACTCAAATTCAGTCCCCTCTGGCCAGATTCAGAAGCCTGCTGCCCAGGCAAGATTTCTGTAGTAAGTCCAGCTGACTAAAATATAAGGAAAGCCTAGATTTCTGCTGCCCAGGCAAGATTTCTGTAGTAAGTCCAGCTGACTAAAATAAAAGGAAAGCCTGCACGCACTTCTGCTGCACCCAAGAACCACGTGCTTTGTGGATCTTTACTCCTGACAACATCCCACTGAGGAGTACAAGCAGTAATAAATTCATTCTGACCTTAGCCTAGTCCCTTCACCTCTCACTGCTTCTAAGCTGACATATGACGTCAGTGGCAAAGCCAGTACAAGTTGAACCTCCCTGGTCCAGCACATTTGGGACCATCAGTGGCAAAGCCAGTACAAGTTGAACGTCCCTGGTCCAGCACCTTTGGGACCGACCAGTCCCAAATGAAGGGATTTGCTGGACCAAGGGAAAAGCCCTCTCAGTGGACTCCAAGTCCCCCTTCCCTCCCTATTGCTGGCTACTTACAGCCTGCACCTGGGCCCCACTGCTGCTGGGCTCTGGCACCAGCCCACCTGCCGTTTGGCCAGGGCTGGAGCTCCCTGCTGTTCTGTCAGCTGCCTCCGGGGACAGAGCACAGTGCCCACCAGAGCCCCAGACACCTCTGCCATGGGCCACTCTCGGCCTTGCCACAAGATCTCCCCATCCCTAGGCTCTGTGGTCCAGTAACATCCATGGTCCTGCTGTACCACGGATGTTGCCAGACAAGAGAGTTCTGGCTTAGGGAGGTACAACCTGGACTAAAAACTTGTGGTCCTGGCTGCTAGATGCTAGGAATGTAAAATGTTAACTCGTGTTACCTATGAAGCATTTGCCTCACCAGCACACTTACGGAGTAACTGGTTAAACGGTGCCTCGAGCAGCCCCTGCCCACAGCGCACTGTGCATCAGCAGACCCCCTGGAGTGGCCCCCAACCCTGGGATCCCAGGTAACCATATTGTTTAACTGGTTAACTCTTTAAGTGGGATTTTACACCTTTATTAGATCCTCTTTCAATCCATGATGCTGACTCTGCCCTCCATAAATGCACAATGCCTATAACCTGAAGAATGCATTTTTGAGAGGGAATGTCTTATTTTCTTGTAATATATTCAGCACCTAGATAAGTATTTATTGTAGTAATGTAAACAGACCTAATACCATTAACTATGCCACTGCCACTAACTCAAAGTAACCCCTGACTTGCTGGCCATCACGGAAAGGGGCCAACCAAATACAGGATAACTGGCTTCAATACAGGACAAAGAAACTCACTGACTGTGCGCCCTGAGTTGTCACCTACCTTTCCACAATGGAACCAAGGCAGGATATGAAAATGACAACCCACACTTGAGAGGTGGGAGAGGGTGCATCTGAAAAGAAATCTTTCCTGAACTCCCTCTTCTGTCCTTTAAATAACCCCTCAACTTCACCATGATCATCAGAAGCTCGTGCCCCAGAAACCAAGACACACTGATTCAAAGCAGGGGGGGGGGGTGTGTGTGGAAACCCTGGAGATGTGTATATATCCCTTACTAGAATGATCAGTAAAAGACTAAACATCATATCACCCCTAGTTGAGCACCCTTCACAAAGCGATCACTCCATACCTGATCTTTCAACATTCATCCTCAAGGGAAACCTGCACCACACCTTCCAAAGACAAGCCTGGGAATGTAAGCCCATTGTTGTTTATCAGGCTCATGAGTTTAACAGGGACAATCGTTTTATGGATTATTATAATCACCTTTTCTGCTGCCCTTAATGGTTCACTTCATTTCAAGTGACCACCTCCAATATTCACTACTCCTTCTGCTTGTTCCACCTTGTACTAAGCTCAGACACACTGCTTCTTTCTGAGTGGCTCAAAAACTTGTTCCTTGAAGCACCAGAAGTCAGCCCAGTACAAGATACTATGTCACCTATCTTCTCTCATATTGAAATGGAAAAACTTTGAAATTACTTGGTTCTAACGAATTTACAGGCTGAAATTCCTGGGAACATAACGTGTAAGTACTTGTGATTCAAGTTAGGAAGGATGGTCATACCACATCCTCTCAGAGCATTAACATAATGCATCATTCAGAACTGTCCCAAAATTTCCACCCTGGCAGTTTATAAAATGAAATGGAGAAATTAAGGAACTCCTCTGTGCCAAAAAGAGACCAAATGCTATCCTGAGATATGCATGGGGTTCCCCACTGATTTCAATGGGTGCTCCATGCACACATCTCAAGGTAGAATTTGGACCCTAAAGATGTAAATTGTGTGTACACTACAGCCTTGTAAAAATGTTATGCAAGGTCACCAGTAAGGGCACGAAATCCATTTGCCCAGTCTCAAAATGAAAAAGCCTGAAAAGATTTACTTGACGACCAAAAAAGGTCATTTGTTCTGGGAGAGAAGAATTTTGCCAGGCTGATGTACCACACACAGGATACAGCTCAGTTGCCTGCTCATGAACACGTAGCTATAGTTTACAAAAAGTAAAAATAAATGACAAAATTAAGGTAACCAGTAGTGTACTTTTGAAGTGTGATAAAGAAACATTTTCCCTTTTAAGCCAATCCATATCACCATCTTAGGCGTTCAATCCAAAGAAGAGCAAACTGCATGGAAACCTTAACATTTCATAAAAGAATACAACAAAAATAGACAAGTGCCCCCAAGCAACACACACACACACACACACACACACACACACACACCAAACTGAATGACTTTAAATGACCTTTTTTAAAATAAAATGGCAGAATTCTCAGATCTAACAAAATAAGATCAATTCTACCAAAGGGGCTTGTATTGTATTGTATTTGATAGTAAGGTAATATTTTATTGTTGCTGGATTTTTGTAAGGTATGTGTTAGCAAAAATGAGCTGTGACTCATCTAGCCTAACACATTTTATGTTTCAGAATATTTGTCAAGGCAGAAGGATAGTTTCTGGCTTAAACATATCTGGGAAAACCACTCTTGTACTTGTCTATTACCTAGGTCTAGTCAGGAATGCATTTAGTTCTAGTCATGCCATGCTCGGAGATCCTTGAGCCTGTCAGATGATGATCACTTGGTAAATGCCCTGCTCAGATAGTGGCAGTCAATCTTCCAGAGTTTGATTTAGTGGGTCTAGTACAGACCCACTAAATTGAATGCTGAGGGCATCCCCATTAACACCAGTATTCCTCAATTCAAAAGGAGTAAGGGATGTCAATGGGAGCAGACCTGCTACGAAGACGGTGTCAAAGGTTGAATTAAGGTAAGTCGACTCCAGCTACGCAATTAACACAGCTGGACTTACCTGGAAGGTTGAATTAAAATATGTAAGTATAGACAAAGCCTTAGTAATAAAGCCATCTTTTGAAAGGGTCAGTTAATACAACAAGTGTTACTATGAAATGGAGCTGTAGCAGGACTATTCAGACCACTGGGAGTTTGTTCAGAAAAGTAAGAGCTGCTTAAACAGGATGGAGGAAGATGGAAAAATGGTCATAAGATCCCTTCTGATCATTTTCCACCAGCTTGCAGTGGTCTATCAGAGCATCAGAACTGTAAAGGAGAATTTTCATCTTATTCTGAACAACACCCAGGGATATATTCATGTATACACCTATGTAAATTAGAAAGAATGTGAAGGTCATCAAATAATCATTTAAAGCACATTTTCAGTATCAGTCACATAGGAGTCCCTTGATTTCAGACCCAACATTAGAGATTTAGCCATCTTCCTTCCCTTGATTAGTGGAAAAAACCCAAATCTTGAATAAGAAATAAGTTCTGCTCTGCAAGTGCTCTCAACAGGTGTAAGTAAGCACTTCCAATTCAAGCCCCTTCACCTTCATTTTCATAGCAACTAAAAAGGAATCAATTCACCATCTAATTTATTAACCCAGAGCCCAGAGGGGGATGACAGATGCAAAACAAAAACTAAAGAAAGCAAATGGTGAGAGGAGTTAGAGGAAAGGGAGACAGGGGACTGCATGCCATTAACCATTACTTTTCCAGTCTTCTTTACGCTCCCCTATTCTAGGATGCTTAAGGTAAAAGCTTCAGAGAAATCTCTCCAGCTCATACTGCTCTTCATAAGCAAAGACAAGAAGACTGAGAAAAGGATCAACATAATCAGCAACAATATATATTTAAGTTATGTTACGTAACTGACAAGAAATGGCTATATCAGACATGTAATTGTTCTTTTATGACCAATATTCTATTAATTCTCCCTCTCCCACTGCACATTCTAGAAAAACAGTAAAGACTTCAAAGTAACTTCAAGTATGAGCCATTTCTTGTGTAAATAATTATGAATAACCAATAATACAGAGTCTTAAAGTTACAGATGAAAAAATGTCTTCAAGTGTTGAAGGCACTGTGTAAAGATGGCCTTATCAGTGATAAAATAAAAAACCGTGATAACAGCTGGACTGCACAATCTTAAGAGTCTCCCCAAAGGCAGATAATGTCTAGACCTAGTCAATATATATGTGGCATAAAGCTACATACACTGTAAACTTAAGTAGTTAGCCTGAAATGTACATTCCACTGAATTCATTAATACAATGAGTACTTATCCTGAGTAGGGATGTTAACCAATATTTAACTGAATAGTCAAGTAACCTCATGAATTCTTAGCGGTTAGTCAACTATTCTATAGTTCCCAGAGGGCGGGGCCAGCAGCCAATGTGTTCTAGCCTCACTCCCAAGGAGCCCCCTGCCATTCTGCGCTGCTGCTTCTGTATCAGAGGTAGCAGTGTGCGATGCCAGGCAGGATCTGGTCTGCGAGCAGAACCAGTTTAAAGCTCCCCTCGTAGATGAGCTGCCTGTCCTCCTGTGCTGCTGCTTCTGATAAAGAGGCAGCAATCCCTGTCGTGGGGAGGGGGGCACAAGTGTCTGAGCTCCAAGACCCGGTGCGAGCTGGAACTGACCCAGCTCCTAGGTCCCGGACCCATTGCAAACCAGGACTAAGCCAGCCTCCTGACCAGCCTGCTAAAAAAATTTACTGGCAGGGGAGGAGGGAGGGAGGGAAAAGGAGAAATGCATGTAGTCTATAGCATTAACCTATAAGCTTTTGCTTATCAGTTAATCGACTACACTATTACATCCCTAATCCAGAGACCATACGACCAATCATCTATATGCTGCTGTGACATCTGCTAAAGGAGGGATAAATATTGATATTGATTTTGACTGGTTGAGAAAAATGATTCTCAGTTTTTGTTTCAACACCACACGAATTTTGAGCTGATTATATTGAAATATGATGTTAATACTGTACCAGAGGAAAAGCATTAGCTAGGTGTTATTTACTATACACTACTGAAGTATAAAAACCCTGAAGAGGTGTATTAGTAATGATTTTATATAACACTAAGTGCACTTTCTCTATGTTCAATTAGAACAGGCAGACAACAACACTTGTTACTTATTGCAGTCAAGCAACAGATTATCAGGTTGTCACTATTTGTCCAAAAAGACTCAGACAATGGAATCCGCAACTTACAAAGTGACAGTCAACACTTGGAGAGAGATAATCATACAGCACTCAGCCCATTGGCTGATCACAGCCAGTAGCACCCAGTTATCAGCCATGATGCATGTGAGAGTCTGGGCAGGCTTACCTTAATGGTAACTCTTTTACTCATATAAAAACCATGCTTACACCAGAGAAGAATAGTTAAAATTTTCAGGAAGCCAACAATGCAGGATTATACTCTTTGTGCCTTCACAATCAGCAGAGCACAAAGCTCTTCAAGCACTCCATAGCCAACTCTCTGGGCTAGCATGGAATGCATCACATAGCATGCAAAGTATCTCCCTCCTCCTCCAAAAAAGGTATATGGCTAGTTTCCTCTTCCGAGTGCGTGCTAGATTGTAAGATTCTAGAGCTTGATCAAGAAGGCATTAACTTGGGATGTCATCTCTCATAACAGAGGATTTCTGGGATTTACTTATACACTTGTACCAAACAGAAAAATGCATATTGGAGGGGAAATGGTCCCCCCCTCCCTCACAGTGACGCTATAATTTACTGACCTGCTTAGATTTTTCAGAAGTTAGGGACAGAAATGATCAATTCAGAACCTGTCTCCACACAATTAGTCCTCTGTTTTTACTGGGAACATACGAAGTAAATATAAATAATCATAAAATGCAAAACTATGATTGGCTGTGTACGCATTGCATGAAATATGGGAAATGATTGAGAAAGTTTCTTAAACCAAAAAAAGTATAGAAATGAGTCATCCAAAACAGCAACTGAAAAGAACACTCTTGAGAATAAAAATGGCAATTTGTGACAATAAACCACTATCTGTTTCAGTGGTAAACCCCCCTGATATTCTGACCTCATCAAAAAACTGCTGAGTTTTGCGCAGTATAAATTTTAATTCTGTCAGCTCGAGGAAGTTTCTCTTCAGAGCTTCCTGGTTTGTGTTGATCTCTTTAAGCTCATTTTCAATTTTCTCAAAGTTTGCCTGGGGAAGAAAAGAAGAGGAAAAAAGGTAAAGTTCAACTAAAAATAAATGCTATTTAGCCCTAATTAAACACACAGTTTCAAATGCACTTTGCAAGATCTTTTCCCTAACTGCATTCAGGGTACCCAAAATTGCTAGATGCTATCTGCATCCTGTTTTCTTCACAGTGCATCTTAAAACATTAGTACATTATAACAATGCTACTATATATAAAGATTTTTAACTAGATTCTGTATGGATCCAGGAAGCCTTCTTTAAAATCTTCCAACAGAGTATAAACTGGTACAACCCCAGCAATTTAGAGTTGTACTACTTTACATGGAGTTTTAAATTTGGTTCGTCATTTTTAAAATGAAGTATTAATTTGTATCTTATACATACATTGAAGTTACAGCAAACTATGCAAACCCCAAAATGTTTATGGGTCATATGCTGAGCTCATGCGAACTGGTGGAGCTACAATGAACACAACAGAAATTTGCTGAATTAAGTCAGCTGGGGATATGTTCTTACAACTAAATTCCAAAGAATTCAGTGATTGAGACTTGCTAGCACAAGTTGTGTTCGCTAGATTCAGATACTAGTTCAGCCTTAATGAAACACTTACCTCTAAATCAATCATGTCACGTGGGAAAGGCACTTCTGGGTTCTCACCAGTGTCCAAGATCGGGATGTTTGCTTTTTTAATTTCTTTCTCAACGAACCCTAAAGACAGAAAATGTTTCATAGTAAGAATCACCAGGAGAAACAAAAAGCTAGAAACTGCAACATCAGACTCTCTCCATCTTTGTATTCCTCATTAGCACACCTGACCAGCAGGTGCAAATCCTTCCCCCACAACCACACATCCCATACACAGCAGAATTACATCAGAATACAGTGCATGTAGATGCTTTAAAAAAATCCCAAAGTTATCTTCTCTACGTGAAACAAATTTTTCCAAAAGCAGCTGAGCCTCCTGTGATATCCATGTTACCTTACCACTAATACAACATGTCGCTCTGGCACATTATTTCAAAAGTTTAGGCTGCTTTCTTCCCTCAAAGCTAGTAGAGGTCATACAGAATTAGAGGCATGCATTTAAGTAAAGCAGGACATACTGAGTTTCCGGTCCATCTCTTCACACCTCCTGACTTCGTTAACAAATTTACGCTGGAACACATTCACATCGGGGTTCAACTGCAAACAGAAACACGTTTCCTTTGGCATGTTTAAATGTGAAGGAGCAGGATTACAAGTTTACCAGGATGGCAAGTAGGGGTTTTCTTGGGCAGGAGTGATGGTCGTTTTTAAAGAATGATGCATGGAAAGTTGTGCAGCACAACCCGCTTTACTGATAATTAACAACTAGCTGGAATATAGGAGCCTGCTGCACATGTGCACACTGAGATAGCAAAGATTAATTATAACCCTTGACCAGACAAAGAGCAGCCAGGATCTTAACGCTCCAATGCATTTTACTGACACAAGAAAGTAGCCACTTACATCACGAAACTGAACCTTTCCAAGCTCTCCTAGCTCGCTGACACAACAGTACGCAGCTTCCGACTGGAGGAAAAGCTGGGCCAGGGTCATCTCCTCACTTCGGAAAAGCTCCCCCATGATGAAAGGAAAGGACGGTCAAACCAGAAGTGGAATTCTAACCCTAAAATAAAAAGGTTGTAGGGGTTAGAATGTACAGCAGAGTCTGAATCCCATGTTCTCCCCTGTACAATGTGCCTCCTATGATCAGAGGAAAAAATGGTAGAAAACACGAGTGGCAAATTCTATTTCCATGAAATAGCTCTATGCGCTTCATGTAAATATTTTGATTTAAAAATAATGAGAGGAAGTGATGATTCTTTCATAAGATGATTGAGAGGTCAACAAGTTCTTCAGCACCTCCTGATGATTTCATAACTTTCTAGGCACACACACTTGGTTGAATCATCATGGATCTTACTCACTGACCCGTGGTACGAAGAAGGGGAAACCTGCCACATCACAGGCTCTGCAAAGCACCACAGACAGAATGTTTGTCACTCGTTCACTTTCTTCTTCAGCAATCTAAGAACTCTGTTCTTCCAGGGCTGTCCTTCTGCTCTAAGCTTTGCACTTAGCATGCTGCTCTCAGGCAAGCCAACTCACATGGCACCAAAAAGCCAGAGATTGCCTACTGAAGTGTCATCCAGGAAACAGCAGACTTTCAGCTGACAGCTTCCTTGAATTGGCAGGGAGGAGCCCTCCCATGAACAGAAGATAACACTGGAGTAGTTCTGAAAATGCAGCATATTGCATACTGAGTTACAGTGCAAAACCACCTTAAAGGCAAACAGATTTATTTGGGCATAAGCTTTCATGGGCAGAGACTCACTTTGTCAGATGCATTGTCATTGATACTCATTGTGGGCAGAAAACACATTATTTTGCTCTTCATTCAGCTGCTCTATTTTATAGTGATTTCCACCCTGCCCCCGGTAAAACTAAAGGCTATCTAGAGGTCTGTCAAACTATCATAACAAGCAGGGTGATGGTTCACTCAAAACTGGTTTGAAAACAGAAGAAATGCCACACAAAAGAAGATGATGCTAAAGCAGATGGTGCTCTAAGTGGTCCTGAATTTTTATTAGCTCAAACTATGTACGCCTAATAGGCCAAAATCAAAACGAATGACACTTTATTTCAGTTCTATGTGCACGGATGTTTGCTTTCATAATGCTGAGTGGCATCAGCTGCTGGTATGACAGTGTCTCTCTTTATAGCCATCAGTGCTGTTTGTACCATTATCTAGGTCCAAATACTGCATGAACAGGAGCACGTAATTACAAATCCATCCACAAGCACTGCATTTCCATTTTGAAATCTACAGAACCAACCTTGAAACTGACTGGATGAATTATTTGCTGCTGGGTTCAAAGTATATTTTTTTAATGCAAAAATACCCCTTTCAACAGGCACGTGAACTCGAATAATAAAATACGTATTCCTGGCTCACTTGAATCAAAACCCAACCCCCCCAAAAAAAGCAATGAGGATGCATCAAAGGGAACAATGTGTTTAGCCACTCACACGAGCTGCGCCTTAGCCTCTGGTGGCCCTTTATAATGGGGGGGGGGGGTGAAAAGCACAGTCAGAGCCTAGTGCTGCAGACTCACCACCCATGCCCGGCACAGCCCCTGTTTGCAGGGGGAGGGGGGGCAGCTAATCTGGAGCAGAGCTGGATTATGCACAGGAGCCCACACCAGCTGGACACAGAGCAATGAACCAGCCCCTCCCCTGGAAATCCTGGGGGGGGGGGGACTAAGGGCTGAGCTCCGCCCCACGCACCCCGCATAGACCCTCACAACCGGGCCCCCCCAGGGCCTTTCGGGGAGGGGCCCCGCCTCTCCAGCGCCCTGAGCAACGGGGTGACCCAGCCTCGGCCCACAGCCCGGGGGGGGACCCGCCACCTCAGCCCTCCCCCCCGCGCCCTGCACAACGGGTGACCCCAGCCCCGCCCCCGCGGCTCGCTGCCACCTGCCGCAACGGAGACACCCCCCCCTTCCCCCGTTACCTGCAGCTACTCCAGCCCCTACGGCGGCCGCCGCAGTAGCAATAGCCGCCCGCCACGCCCCCTGACGTCACCGCGCACGCGAACGTCCGCCGCAGAGCCGGATCACGCCAGGGCGTCTCCTAGCGACGGGCCGGCGGCCATCTTGTTTCCCTTCGGCCGGCTGGTCCCCTCCTCCCGGAAGTGCGGAAGTGCCCGGAAAGGGTTGGGGGAGGGGGAGGGGGAGGCAGACCCTCCCCCCCTCGCATCGGCCGCTGTTCGCGGATCGTGGGGTCACCCGGTGCTATGACCAGTACACCCGACGTCACAGCCTGATCCGATGACGTCATGTAACGCCCAGATGTTTGGGTGTAATATGGTGACCTCATGACAGCGCCCCTCTTGCACTTGAGTGTGCTGGACCCAAATGCCGTTGTGGCATCGCCTGCATTGGAGCATCACTATGTCGCACCGATCACCACACTGCTCCACCATGCAATGTGCACCAATCGCCGTGTCGCACCGATCACCACACTGCACCACCATGCAATGTGCACCAATCACCATGTCGCACCAATCACCACACTGCGCCACCATACAATGTGGCACCAATCGCCATGTCGCACCGATCACCACACTGCGCCACCATACAATGTGGCACCAATCGCCATGTCGCACCGATCACCACACTGCGCCACCATACAATGTGGCACCAATCGCCATGTCGCACCGATCACCACACTGCGCCACCATACAATGTGGCACCAATCGCCATGTCGCACCGATCACCACACTGCGCCACCATACAATGTGGCACCAATCGCCATGTCGCACCGATCACCACACTGCGCCACCATACAATGTGGCACCAATCGCCATGTCGCACCGATCACCACACTGCGCCACCATACAATGTGGCACCAATCGCCATGTCGCACCGATCACCACACTGCGCCACCATACAATGTGGCACCAATCGCCATGTCGCACCGATCACCACACTGCGCCACCATACAATGTGGCACCAATCGCCATGTCGCACCGATCACCACACTGCGCCACCATACAATGTGGCACCAATCGCCATGTCGCACCGATCACCACACTGCGCCACCATACAATGTGGCACCAATCGCCATGTCGCACCGATCACCACACTGCGCCACCATACAATGTGGCACCAATCGCCATGTCGCACCGATCACCACACTGCGCCACCATACAATGTGGCACCAATCGCCATGTCGCACCACCATAGAATGTCACACCAACGGGCCCGGCCTTTGGGCAAAGCGAGCGAGGGGGTTGCCTTGGGCCGCACGCATTCAGGGCCCCCCACTGCTCAAATCCCAGCCCCGCCCACCTGGCCACTTACTCACTGCCCTGACTGGGAGCCACACAGCTGTGCAGCTCAGCCAAATACAGTGTGCTGCGTTGGGTCCCGCAAACTCTGGCCAGGCCTACACACCAATCACCGTGTCGTACCAAGCACAATGTCGCATCAATCACCATCACAATCAACACCTGTGAGGAGAAAAAGGCACACCAAGCACTATCAACTCACTGGCATCCCTGAACCGTCTGCAGCTCTCTTCTCTCCCTGAATAACGTTGAGGGACCCATCAGCTGTTCTCCTCAAAGGCACTGTGGAGCCCATGGGTTGAAGGTCCTGAGCACCTTTCAAGGGGCAGTCACTAGTGGTCACTAGATCACGCCTTAGTATAGGGGTCTCCTTACTTTGACTTATTTGACATGGCCAGGTTTTATCAAGCTGGTTCTGGGCTTCAGTCCCACTAAATAAGTCAGTGTATCACTGTTTTCTTTGTTGTTTTACTTTCTTGTATGTTACCTCTCTACCCCGAATTCCCAGATTTTGTATCATTCCGTAATACACTGTATCTTGGTTTACTTTATGCACAGCTTCCTCTTTATTTAGGGATGGGAAGGGAGTTATAGAACACTGGGAAACCACAGGTGACAGACCCTGAATCAAAGGAAAGAGGCTGTGATTTTTGGCACAGAAAAATCAGTCAGACACCTCACATTCATATACCTTATTAACCTTTTAAAATTCTCTGAGCCACCAGTCATCTGTGGTGCCAAATGTACATTGGAGGAAAAGGAGACAGCCAAATGGAGTCAGGTGTCAATGGTAAAGCAATATGAAGTGAAAAAAATCTGTGTACCTACTTGTATGTTGTGGATGGACCTTTTTATAAAGGAGGTATAAGTGACGTGCCAAAAGAGAAACTTTAACAAATGGCCCAATCTTTCTGAAAACTGGGTTTCGCTATTAAAGTTTCTCCTGAAGAGATTGTCAGATAGCCACATTTGGAGAGACAGACTCCAGAGCAGCTGCTGGCATCCCAAAGCAGCCCAGGCCTGTATATATTGCTAGTTGCTTACTGCAAAAGTGCCTAAAGTCCTTGCAGGGTGCCACGATAAAGGAACAAGGAAGAAATAAGGCCACAGAGGAAGAAATAAGGCAGTCATCCCTAGAAACCTTTCAGAAAGGACTGCCAAATGCCCCCAGGATCTCTCAGGACAACATGATATACATAAATAAAAGTTTCCACGTGCCCCCCCCGCCTAACCCTACAAGAAAATGAAAAAAGGTACAGCTCTACATCTGTTTGCTGTACCTCTATCACTTCTCAATGGAGTAAAACAATGAAAAGTCAATACCTGAGGTTGGACTGATGCTTTCCTGAGGTTTCGTGTCCGTTGTTGAGCTGGTCCATGCTTGCGTGGTGGAACTGGCTAGACTGCTTTTGGAGTCTTGCACAGGTCACATGTGGTGACATAGCCGGATCCACCTCTGCCATGTTTGTCTCCTCCTCCTCCTCTTCTTACACCTCCTACTCACTGTTCATGACAGGTGTTTTTGGACTCTACCAAATATGGCATGCTATTTGTGGTAAAAAGGGCATGTACTCCCTCTGCCTCGAGCTTCCTGTAGTCAGCCGCTGGTCAGTTTCAGCAGCGGCTGACTTGGGGACGCCTGGGGCAGAGCAGCTGGGGTGCTGCTGGGTTGGTCCAGTAGCGCCAAGGAGCGGCGCTGCGGGACCAACCGGCATGTCCAGCAGCGGCTGACTTGGGGACCCCTGGGGCAGAGCAGCTGGGGTGCTGCCGGGTTGGTCCAGTAGCGCCAAGGAGCGGCGCTGCGGGACCAACCAGCAGCACCCCAGCTGCTCTACCACAGGCGTCCACGAGAAAAGCCTGGTCTGCTGGGGTTAGGGGGGCGCACCAGCTGCGTCCCTCCCCCCCCAGCAGACCAGGGAGACGCGGAGCAGCTTTTCTCGCCCCGGAGGATGTGGGCGGCGGGACCGCGGCGCGTCTGGGCGGTCCTGCTGCCCGCGTCCTCCGGGACGAGAAAAGCCCCATTCATAAGTACGGATCCGACATAAGTCGGATCCACGTAACCCAGGGACTGCCTGTATAGGCACCCAGCCTCACTCTTCTGTGGGCCTTAACATATTGTAACATAATTCCCTAACCAATTATATCCCATCACTTTCATTGATTTACACCGAGCAAAATTAATTATACAGCAGGCAAAAACAATTAAAAAACAGACCGAGATCATTCAGACAAAGAATAGGAAAGTGAAGCAAAATACAGGACTATGTAGCACTTTAAAGACTAACA